ATGAAACTTCCTCCAATCCTGAGGCTGGCTGTCATTCTTCCTCATAAAATTCAGCTTCTCGAATTATTTGCTCAACATAGAGATTGACTTAAGTATGGCTGATTTTAAACCAGGCATTATTCCCTTTCTGTTAAAAGGACTGGCTCTTGGTCTTACATATAATTTTGCATGAACACAATGAAGCGTTCTGGAATTCACATCCTTCCCAAGGTTCTCTGTAATTTGTTATGATTCACACTCAAATGCTTGCATAGTCAATGAGACACAGGTAAACACCTTTTCTGGTATTCGCTGCTTTAGCCCAAATCCATCCAACACCAGCAGTTATATCCCTTGCTCTAGGTCCTCTTCTAAATCCAGCTTGGATTTCTGTAAATTCCTTGTCTACAACCATTATCTTCAGGGAATTTTCACTTAGCTCAATCATTTGTGCAGGTTCTGTTGGATCACTTGTCTTTGGAATGGGCACACATCTAGAGCTCTTTCAGTTGGCTGATCAGGTCAACTTTTTCTAAATTACTTGATATTGACGAATGAGTGCATCTGGCATTGTACCTGTCTGGTGAAACAGTTCTATTGGTATTCCATCAATTCCTGGAGTACTGTTTCTCACCAGTGCCTTAAGTGCAGCTTGGGATTTCTTACTTCCTCATATGTTCATGTAAAAAAAAAAACAAAAAAAACAGTAATTTAGCCTAGCACATTTTCAAAAATCCCTGGTTCAAGGGCAGGGTGGGAGAGGGAGAATGCAGTTGGCAATCTTATAAGGTGCGTGTTATTTTGTGAAAAAATTCAAGTATGTCCCCTGGTTTTGCTATATCCCTAGACAAACCACCTAATAATCCTCTATGCCTGTTTCCTCATCTGAAAAATGGCTGCCACATTCTAGGTATTTAATACAAGAGAGTTTCTAAAAGTTCATGGAAAAATGGAATGAAAAGATGCTATTGTTAGATGCTAAAATTAGGAAAACTGGGCGTGGAGTATATGGATAATCTCTGCACCATCTGTACAAATTTCCTATAAGGCTAAAATTGTTTACAAAAAAAAAAAGTGAATTTTCCACAAAATTTTTAAAGCCCCCTACTCTGGTAGTGTAGTCGTTACGAATCGGGCTGCTAATCTCATGGTCAGCAGTTTGAAACTACCAGCTGTTCACGGGAGAAAGATGAGGCTTTCTGCTCCCACAAAGATGTACAGCCTCGGAAACCCTGTACAGGGTAGCTATGAGTCAGAGCCGACTCCACGGCACATAACAACGACAACTAAACACAGATCCATATACAAATAAAACCTGAACAAAAAGGTGCATCAAAATGTGAACGCTTTGGGGCAAGGAGTCTGTGTTTTGATTCATATTTGTATGCAGTTTCCACATTTCATAAAGGAATCATACTTTTGTTTTTCTTAAACTGGGGTTGAAGAAGGGAAGGATAAAAGTTTTATATTAAAAAGTCAACCAAGAGACTAAATAAAACATGACACACCGATACAATAGGACCCCTAGTAGCGTACCAATTCAACAGTCGACATAACGGAAAGATGGGTGGCTTGAAGTTTGGGGAATTTATTTAGTCCAAGTAGCTAGCCAACTTCCTTATTAGGCGATCCCAGCTTTAGAGTGTCCTGGTGTGGCGCTGTAGGTGTGGAATAGTAGCGTACCAATTCAACACTCGACATAACGGACAATTGGTATGTTACTATTCCACCCAACAGCTCCACAGGAGAAAGACCTGGTGATCCCACTCCCATAAAGATGGCAACTTTGGAAATCCCCTGGCTACTTCTGCTGTTACATGGGGTCACTGTGAACTGAAATCAGTGGCACCCAACACCACCACCACCCATGCAACGTTTACATTGTTGTAGCATGCCATTGAGTCAGTTCTGACTCACAGCAACCCTGTACAGGGTTTCCAAGAAGCAGCTGGTGGGTTTGAACTGCTGACCTTATGTTTAGCAGTCTAGTGTTTATCCTAAAGCTACGCCAAGACTCCACTGGATTATTACTGTCGTAAGAATCCGGGTAAAGCACTGACAGGTTCTAGAACATTGACAAACCTTGAAAACATGATAAAGTTTTAGGAGCCAGACTCAAAGGTTTTGCTGAATCCTTACATAAGGCATCAAACCCCTATGTTCTTGTTTCCTCATCTGCAAAACGGCTATCACATCCTAGGTACAAGGGGCCTTCAAAAAGTTCCTGGGAAACATGGAATGAAAAGATAATACTAATGTGAGATGCTTAAAAAAAAGGAAAACCGGGTGTGGTGTTTATGGACAGTACCTACTATGTGCTCAAGCAACCCCATTGACATAAAACATCCCATACATACGAACCCTTACACAGAAACCAGGGGGCTGAATGGGGTGGCGTGTGACTGCTCATGGGCTCAGGGCTTGTTTTGGGGAGAATGTATTGGCTGCATAGACTAGCGAATTTACTAAACGCCATCAAATCGTACATTTCAAATGGGTGAGTTAGATGCAACATGAACATCTCAACAAAGCTGTTATTTTAAAAAAAAAAAAAAAGGGAGGAAGTAAACAGGCTCAATGCTGATTCGTTCAGCATAAGAGATTCAAAACTATACTTTTTAAATATGTAAATATATATACTTACCTCAATTACACACACATACAAAAGGACAACTTAAGTGGTAAGAAAGGCTCTGAATCACTAGAAACAGATTGGCTGACAGAAGGACTTTACAGTTTCACCGAGTCCTCTTTTGGAAATCTAGAGACTTGCTTTTTCGAAGAGCTGACAGCTTTCACTCTAAACATCAGGCATCTCATTCTTCTCTAAAACCTGTTGTTAAAGTGCCATCAAGTCGATTCCAACTCATTGCACTCATGTATAGCGTTTCCAAGGACCAGCTGGTAGGTTTGAACCGCCAACCTTGTGGTTAGTAGTCCAGTGCTTATCCTACAGCGCCACACCAGGGCACTCTAAAGCTGGGATCGCCTAATAAGGAAGTTGGCTAGCTACTTGGACTACATAAATTCCCCCAACTTCAAAGAAAGTTCTATTGCACAGTGCTGCAAGGGTCAGCAACCTATGCCTGCAAATGTGTCCAACTTTGTGGACCAGGCAGTTTCTGTCACAACCACTCCATTCTACTGATTATAATATGACAGTTGCCAGAAACCATATGTAAACAAAGGGACTTGGCTATGTGCCAATAAAACTTTATTTAAAAAAACAGACCGTGGATCCAATTTGGATCCACGGGCTGTAAGTTGTTGACCTTTATCCAACATCTCCTAGAGTCCCTAAGAACTGCACACCCACCCACCCACCCACCTACTGCCACTTAGTTGATTCTGACTCCTGTTGACCCTACAGGACAGAATTACACTATCCCTGGGGGTTTCCGAGGCTGTTAATCTTTAAAGGAGTAGACAGCCTCGTTTTCATTCCTTGGGGAAGCTGCTGGCTTTGAACTGCGGTGGTTAGCAGTCCAGTGTCACCGGGGCTCCTTTAAAAATTGGCGGGGATGCACGGCGGTTGTATTGAGAGAACGGAAATACTTGGTAAGAGAAAAAGTACACAGTGAGATCTGGAACAATCTGCATAGAAGACACCAGCAATTACAATCTGCAAAAGGACATTTATTCTGGGAATCTAAAATTCGGACAAAGAATGTTGAACATTTTAGGGAAAGCCTACATGGGAGGTCGCTGGGGTTTTTACCCTAGTACATTAACAATCTAATCAATCATATGGGGAAAAAAAATAATAGAACCTCTTCAAAACCATAGCTTGTTCCACGTAGTCTGCAGTTTATGTAAAATTCTAAAATATCCCTGTTACATTGAGGTATAAAGCTGCAAACTTTGGTGAAGTTAGAAAAATTAACAAACCATTCCAAAAAAGTTTAAAAACAAAACACAACCCCCGAAAACCCAAGTTAGAGCTCTCTTGGTACATATACAAATACCTACAAAAAAATTTCATTTCAAAAAAGTTTTTTAAAAAAAAACAACCAAAAAACCCCATGACATTCTCCATTGCCAAGCGGAAATTCCACGTAAAACAGCATTAAAACGTACACCATCTCCACGTGCTCCCAGCCTCAGGAGCAAAGAGGTGACCACAGTTTTAGAATCTGGTTGGCAATTTCGACATTTCAGTGCTAAAAAAGAGCCCCATCTTGTTAAAAAAAACACGGCAAAAAAAACAAAATAACCCAAAGGCACTTGGACATGGCTTTGTGCGCTTGTTGGATTCCGTGTGGCTCTGGCTCAGGCGGCATGTGGCCAGACGCCCAGCATCAATGTCCAGGGTAGTCCCACGGAGGATGGAGATTGGGTTGCACCCCCACTCTGCTTACTGTATGTGGAATCGTGAACACAGAAGCAGATGGGCAGAAGGGTGGGGAACGGCTTCTACAGAAGGCCAGAGTTCACACTAGGCTGGATCCAGGTTCTCTTATCCCTGACACGACAACTCTTGGTGCAAGACTGGGCCCACCATCAGGAGCCACCGTGTGGAATTTTGTCCGCTACGCCGTTGTCGGGAGGGCACGCTTGACTACCGAGGCCAAACCCACACTCTTCCAAGTGACTGTTCTCAGCGGCGTCCACAGCCATCTCCTTGCTCCTCGGCGCCCACAGCAAACAGCCTCTGAGAACTGATGATGGGACATTCACCGCCTTCCAAAAAGCTGTTCCTCATTCCATCTTTAAAACCCATTCAAAACCCAAATCACACTGTTTTTTTTCCCTCTTGCTGAAAAAAACGACAGGCCTTCTACTATGTAAAACAAAACCTGGAAAAGTCCAACTTTCTTTTGTCGCCGCTAATGCATAAATTCCTGAACATTTATAGATTAAAAAAACAATAAAAAAGACAGGAAGACAAGCCTTTGTAGGGGGAGTGGAGAAAAACAACTACCTGTTTTAAGTTAAGCCCACTAAAAACAAAACAAAGGCGGGAAAAGAAGCCCGCCCCAGGACCCATCTGGACAGGAGCGCAGGGCAGGAAGTGCTTGGCATCACCGGCCGTTGCCGTAACCCGGGAAGAGCTGGTTGAGGATGGTCTGCAGCGGCTGGTTGACATGCATGGCGTAGTTCCGGCCCAAATCGTAGCGGCAGGCGGGACAGCTGAACACCTGGGCCCGGAAGGACCTGTCCAGGCAATCCTGCAAGAGAAAATGGGCAGTGAGAAGCTAAATCCAAGGCCATGGTGAGGAGGGCCAGGGGCAGGCAGGAGAGAGCCAGTGGGAAGCAGCGGCCGTGGTGGGCCGGACAGACAGGAACTGCCCTCACCTTGCACACATTGTGTTGGCACACGGTTGTGATCGGGCGGAACACCACCTCCTGGCAGCAGATGCACTGGAACATCTCCTCCACTATGCTCAGGAACTTCTGCAATGAGGGACACATGGAGTCAGGGAGACACGAAAGGATCTTCCAGAAATGCCCAGCAGCTGGCTAAGCATTTGCCATGTGGCCACCGAGTTCAGCCTCACAACTTTCACTCCTCACAGGCTGGAAGAGTCGCTCCCGTGCCCATTTTTAAGATGAGAAAATTGAGGACCAGAGAGGGGCAGGCTTTGACCAAGTGTCCAGAGGGAATGGGATGGGCAAGCAGGACCCATCTGGAGGGACAGAGGCCCTGGCAGCAAAAAAATGTCAGACTTCAGAGGCAAGGCAGGGCGTTAAGAGTCAACTCTAAGGGTGCATCTGGGCTTGCTAAATAAATAGTGGACACTTCCAGTGGGCCACTGGGCCAAAGGAGGCTAGCAAAACACAGACAGACACTAAAGAACAAGTGTAGGAAGGACAACAGGGCTTTCCTTGAGTGCCGTTGAGTCAGCAGCCCTGTACAGGGTTTCCGAGGAGCAGCTGGTAGGTTTGACCCACCAACCTTGTGGTCAGTAGTCCAAGTGTTTAAACTACAGTGCTACACCAGAATGGGTCTGGACATATGAGTTTACGAAGGGACTTCACAAAGTTGGTGGGAAAATGCCATTATCTTTTCATTCCACTTTGCCACCAACTTTGTGAAGTCTCTTTGTAGTAGGTTTGACAAAGGAAATTTCTATGTATGTGTTTAACTGATGCTGCAAATATATCCATGTATACAGCAGCATATACACAAGGCAAACTTATGAAAATTTCGTAGCCATAACCAAACACTGGGCCTGAGGGCTCAGGACTCAAGTCTCAGAGGATACCAGGGTCAGCTGGCATAATGTTGTCCACAAACCTGGAATTTTACGATCTGAAGCAAAGAAAAGTGAAGAAAATGGAAGAGCCGTGAAAACAATTCAGACTATGAACTAACAGATCATGTGAATCCCAGCGACCACGACAACTAGATGGTGCCCAGTTACCCCTGCCAACTGCTCTGAAAGGGATCGCATTAGAAGGTCCTGGATAGTGTGGGACAAAATGTGGAACAAGACTCAAAATCATTAAAAAAAAAAAAGAGCGGACTTGGTTGGGCAGAGACTTGTAGAACCCTAAACTCGGACCACAGTGACCCTTTACATCTCACACTGAGCTCACTCCTAAGGCTCCATTTTCAGCTCAACAGGTGACAGGTGTACACACCTTAAAATCAGCAACCCTTTGAGTTCAAGAGGGTAGGATGTGCCCAAGGACAAAGTTGAGAAGGGTCAGGAGAGGAGGAACAGAAACGGAATCACAGGGAGGAAGTGGGAAGAGTGAGGTTACATGGTGGGGACTGCAGTCCTGACCTGAAACAAAATGTGTCTGAGGTGTTGACTGGAAAACGGATTCACTCTATAAACCTCTGCTCAGTTAACAAACATTTCAATAAACAAAAGTTATCAAAATCTAGAGGATGCAGTAGTACTTAAGAGAAATTTACAGCATTGAGTGCATGTATTAGAAAAGACAGACCAAAATCAATAATCTCAACTTCCACCTTACAAAAACCAACATTCAGCTGTCAATTTGTTGAGTGTCGCTGTGATGCTGGAAACTACACCACTGGTATTTTAAATACCCACAGGGTCTCCGATGGTGGAGAGGTTTCAGCTTCGCTTCCAGACTAAGACAGACTAGGAAGGAGGGAGGGAGGATTAGCCACTGAAAACTTTATGAACAGCCATGGAACACTGTCAGATACAGTGCCGAAGATAGGGCTCTCAGGCTGGAAGGGACTCAAAATACAGCTGGGGACGAACTGCCTCCTCAATGTAGAGCTGACTTTAATGACAGATGAAGCAAAGCTTTCAGGACCTTCATTTGCTGATGGGCCTCAACTCAAAATGAGAATAGTTGCAAAATTCCAGTAATAATCAGAATGAGGAATGTACAAAAGTGTGACTCTTGGAAAACTGGACGTTGTCAAAAATGAACTAGATATCAGGACTGACTGTGAGGGTTGCAAATGTAAAGGTAGACGTTTTGTAGCAAGGAGGGGAGTGATTAACATTGTAGTCTAGGAGCGGAGATCCCTGGGACCATGAAGGGAGAAGAGCGGAGAGCGGGACCCTACCCAGAGAAGCAGTGAGGCCTGAGATGGAGCAGCTGGGAACTTTAGACCCAGAGAGGGAGAGGGGCTGTGTGCTGACTGGTGGGGGGCAGGCTTGTAGGGTATACCCTTTGGTTGGTTGATGATGCATGGAGGGGATTGTAACCATGGCAATGAGACGATATACAATAGGATGAATGTAGAGCTAATGTTCTCCCATGTAAACTATCACATAATTCACAATAAAACATTAAAAAAAACAACCTACAGCACATAAGTATCAATATCCTAGGTATTAATGAGCTGCAATGGACGAACACTGGCCATTTTGAATCTAACAATCATATAGTTTACTATTCTGAGAACAAATTAAAGAGGAATAGTGTCACATTCATTGTCAAAAAGAGTATTTAAAGATGTGACTCGAAGGACACTGCTGTCCGTGATAGGATGATACCCATTCATCGACAAGGAAAACCAATTAATACCACTATTATTCAAATTTACGCACCAACCACTAAAGCCAGTGATGATAAAACTGAAGAATTCTACCAACTTCTTCAGTCTGAAATTTGTCAAACATGCAATCAAGATGCATTTATAATTACTGGTGATTAGAACGTGAAAGTTAGAAATAAAGAAATAGAAAAATATGGCCTTGGTGATAGAAATGATGCTGGAAATCACATGATAGGATTTTACAAGCCCAACGATTTATTCATTGCAAATGCATTTTTTTCAACAACATAAGAAAGAGATCTATACACATGGACCTCACCAGACTGAATACAAAGAAATCAAACTGACTACATCTGTGGGAAGAGGTGATGAAGAAGCTCAGTATCATCAGCCAAAACAAGGCCAGGGGCAGACTGTGGAACAGACCCTCAACTGCTCATAAGCAAGTTTAGGTGGAAGCTGAAGAAAATTAAAACAAGTCCACTAGAAGCCAAAATATACCCCACCTGAATTTAGAGACCATTTCAAGGATCGTTTTGCTGCATTAGACACTGAAGACCAGAAAAGTTGTGGGATGACATGAAAAACATTGGATAGGATAAAAACAAAGTGTCATCAATTTAAAAGACAAGAACCATAAGACCAAAACGGAAGTCGTAAGAGACTCTGAAACTTGCTCTTGACAATAGAGAATCTAAAGTGACTAGAAGAAATGAGAAGGAAAAGAGCTGAAGAGAAAATCTCAAAGGGCAGCTCGAAAAGCAAAAGTCAAATATAACAATGAAATGTGCAAAGACCCAGAGTTAGAAATCCAAAAGGACAGAACAGGATCAGCAGTTCTTAAGCGGCAAGAATTGAAGAGAAAATTAAAGCTTTGTGGCACAACATTGAAGGATTCCGTGGGCAAAATAATGAACGATGCCGAAAGCATCAAAATAAGATGAAAAGAATATACAACAAAGTCACTGAAGCAAAAAGAAATCTGATGTTTAACCACCTCAAGAGGTAGCATACGACCAAGAATCCATGGTTCTAAAGCAAGAAGTCCCGGGTGCACCGAAAGAATTGGCAAAGAACAAGGCACCAGGAATTGATGGGATACAAATTGAAATCTTTCAACAAACTGATGCGTCACCGGACGCACTCATTTATGCCAAGAAATTTGGTCAGCTACCTGACCAACTGACTGGAAGAGATCCCTTTTGTGCCCATTCCAAAGAGGTAGAATAAGAAAATCATTGAACGATATCATTAATACCATATGCAAGTAAAATTTTTCTATAGATAATTCAAAACCAATTGCAACAGTGCACTGACAGGAAGCTGCCAGAAATTCAAGCCAGATTCAGAAGACATGGAAACAGAGATATCTTTGCTGACATCAGATGGATCCTGGCTAAAAGCAGTGACTCTCCAGAAGGTGTTTACTTGTGCTTTATTGACTATGTAAGGATAATCGATTGTGTGGATCCTAACAAACTCTGGACAGCATTACAAAGAATGAGTATTCCAGAACACTTAATTTCTGTGCTGATGAGGTACCTGTACACAGACCAAGAGGCAGACATTTGATTTGAAATCATGAAAGGTGTGCAACAGGGTTGTATCTGTCCACCGTATTTATTCAGTCGGTGTGCTGAGAAATAATCTGAGAAATTGGATTATATGAAGATGAACGTGGCATCAGGATTGGAGGAAGACTCATTAACCACCTGCAACATGCAGATGACCCAACCTTGATTACTAAAAGCCAAGAGGACTTGAAATACTTACTGATAAAGATCAAAGACTACAGTGTTCAGTAAGGACCGCACTTCAATGTAAAGAAAACAAAAATCCTCCAAACTGGACCAATAAGTAACAAACATCTTGACAAATGGAGGAAATATTGAAGTTGTCAAAGTGTTTTGCTTGGGTCTACAATCAACGCTCATGGAAGCAGCAGTCAAGAAATCAAACGATACTGCATTAAGCAAACCTGCTGCAAAAGACCTCTTTAAGGTATCGAAGAGGAAAGATGTCAGCTTGAGAACTAAGGTGGCCCTGACCCTAAAACCATGGTATTTTCAATCACCTCATCTGCATGCCAAAGTTGAACAATGAATAAGAAAGACCAGAGAAAAATCGAAGAATTTGAACTATACTTTGGAGAAGAATATTCAAAGAATCATGGACTGCCAGAAAAACAAACCCATCTGTCTTGGAAGAAGTAAGGCCAGAATGCTGCTTAGAAGTGAAGATGGTGAGATTTCGTTCTTTCTTTGGACATGCTGTCTCAAGGGTTCAGTCCCTGGAAAAGGGCATCATGCTTAATAAAGCAGAGGGTCAGCGAAAAGAGGAAACCCTCAACCGGATGGACTAACACAGTGGCACAACAACAGGATCAAACTAACAGTTTCAAGGATGACGCAGGACCGGTCAGTTTTGTTCAGAACTGACTCAACAGCACCTAACAACAACAACTAATAGAAATAAGCCAAAGAAAAGAATAAAAATTAGAGCAGAAATGAATGAAATTAAAACAGACAAAGACATTACGAGGAAGGAAAATTACAGACCAATCTCTCCCATGAACACAGATGTAAAAGTCCTGAAATAAAAGCCTGAAATGTCACACAGCTGGTGGTAAGTGTGGTGAGGCACAGTGATGCAGAGAGCCCCAGAGGGGTGCGTGGGAAGGCAGGGCTCAGGCACAGGTCCATGGAGAAGGCGGGCGGCCTGCCAGCAGGACGTGTGGCCGGCTGAACACTGCCACTCCCACACATCTGACCCCCCAACCCCTCTCCCAAAGACCAGCTTCTGAGCTCCAGAATCTCTGCCTATGGGGGAGTCCTGGGGCGGCATTGGGAGATAAACACTGGACTGCTCATTGTAAGGTCAGCAGTGGTTTAAACCCGTCAGCCACTCCTCAGAGCTGACATGAAAACACTTAACAAAAACAACAATGTATATGTTAACTTCCAAATCAAAAGACTTCACAAATAACTGAAGAATCTTGAGATCAGAAAACTGTCATGGATTGAACGGTATTCCTCCCAAACAACGCGCTGGGATCCTAATCTATACTGTACCTGTGAATCTAACCTTGTCTGGAAATGGGTTTTGTGATGTTAATGAGTTGGGATGAGTGGAGTGTGTTTTAGATCAATCTCTTGACCTCTTTTGAGATACACAAGAGAGTAAACAATCAAATGGTGGGAGAAGAGAGATACCATGCCACCACCAGAGATTTCTAAGAACACAAGCCGTAGAGAGACAAAGGCCTCCTGGCAAGCAGACAGAGGCAGTACCATCTCCTGAAGCGAGTGTCCTGTATTTGACGTCTAGCATCATAAGATGTGAGAGGATGAAGTTGTTTGTTACAACCAAGGTCTTACAGAGTTTCTGTCACAGCAGCGCTAGAGAACCAAGAGGTGGTCCTGGATTATCCGGGCAGAACCCATGAAGCCACAAGGTCCTTAATAAGAGGAGGGAGGAGAGAGATGAGATCACGGAGAAAGAACGACATTCCCCAAGGTTTACACTGGCTGGCGTATCGCCTGACTTTTCTTCCAGGGCGCCTCTGGGCGCGTTCAAATTTCCAACACTTCCATTCCTCATCAAGCATGCGAACTGTCTGTGCCATTCAGGGACACAACCCAAGACGTGACAACCAAAGTGGAGACTAGAGAGAAGTGGCCACAAGCCAAGGAATGCAGGCAGCCCCCAGAGGCTGCAGAAGGCAAAAAAAAACCTCTGGAAGGAACAGGAATTCTTCACTTTAGCTCATAAAGGCCCAATAGTCAAGCATTTAGCTACTAAGTCCAAAGGCTGGAAGGCTGACCCCATACTGTGGCTCCTCTGGACAAAGACCCGGTGATCTGCTCTTGCAAAGACAACAGCCTAGGGACCCTGTGGGGTCCTTATATTGTCACATGGGGCTGTTGGAGGTGAATCCATGGCACTGACAACATCAAAACTCACTTTGGACTTCTGCCCTCCAATCTGTACCGAAGTGAACACACGGGTGTGGTTTTGAGGTTTTGAGCCAGCAGCTTCCTTTGAGGGGACACATGAGACACATGGGAGGCCTGACTCTGAGCTGGGGGGGAGGGGACACGAGTGGAAGGTGCTCCAGAGGGAGGGATGGTGAGGAGGGGGTCAGCAGGATGGGGGCAGGGACACAGCTCATGGGCTGCATGAGACTCAGGAGCCGGTGGGTCAGTAAGGGGCAGAGGGCCCATGAAAATGCCCGCCCGTCAGCCTGCTCGCTCACCGGCCCGTCCTTGAGTGACTTGAGGATCTCGGCCCACAGCTTGGCATTGCTTTCGTCCTCCTTAATGAGGCTGTGCTGCTGGGCTGTGAGTCTGTAGGGCTCCACCTTGGTTTTCTTGGGTGTCTCACGCAGAGACCTGGAGCTGGGCTCGACGGCTCCTAGGACAAGGCGGAGTGGACGTGAGCACATGCCAGCCCAGCCCGGGAGGACGGCCGGCCCCCTGCGCAGACACCCACCGGCCGACTTCCGCTTCCGCTTGCTCTTCTTCGGGGACCTGAGGCCCTGCTCCTCCTCCTCGGACTCCTCTTCCTCAGCCTTGTTCTCTTTCTCCTTGTTGGCCAAGGCCTCCAGATAGCCCTCTGGATACTGCATGGGAGAGAACGAGAGAGGGGCTTGGGCAGCGTGACCCAGGCAGGACCCAGCTGTCCCCACTCCACCACCCACCACCCTGGTCCCAGCTTTCCTTCCCTTCCGACCCCCATCCCTCCTCTCTTTCTCCTTTCCCAGGTCCCACAGCACATGCTGAGGTTCGTTCCCTGCCTGATCCCCCCAGACTGTGCTCCAGAGGCCTCCGCCAAGAGAACAGCGAGCCTTGGACAATACTATGTCCAGGGAAGGCACCAGATGTACCACGGCGCACTGGGTAAGCACTCGGCTGTTTACCAAGAGGTAGGCAGTTCAAGGCCACCCAGTGGCTCTGTAAAGACGACCGCCTGGGAAAGTCTACGGGGCAGTTCACATGGGATCACAATGAGTTAGAAGTGACTGGGCAGGCACCCAACAACAAGAAAAGCTAAATGAAAAGCTGACCGTTCACATCCACTCGGCAATATATTTTTGAGATTTCCGCCATTGAAAACTCTACAAAGTGCAGTCCTACTCTTACACACATACAGGGCTGCTGTGAACTGGGAGCCTCAACTTAAGAGCAAAGGGGTCTGTTTGCCCTCTTGGTGAAGTCCTGTTGTTAAGTGACGTCAAATCAGTTCTGAGTCACAGCGACCCTGTAGTTTCCAGGCTGTAAATCCTTATGGGAGCACAAAGTCTCATCTTTCTCACGCGGAGCAGCTCATGGGCTCAAATCACCAAGCTGGTGGTTAGCAGTCCAGTGTTTACCCGACAGCACCACCCGCGCTCCAGGGAATGGGTCTGTTCTCGTGGTACTTGCGTGCCCCTCAGTCAGTTCTGAGTCACGGCAACCCTGGATACACTTTCCAAGGCTGCAAATCTTTCCAAGAAGCAGAGCGCCTCATCTTTCTCAGTGGTGGATATGAACTGCTGACCTTGCAGTACCCAACACCCTACTACTGTTATTAAGTGACTTCGAGTTGGTTCAGACTTATAGCAACCCTGTACAGGGGGTTCCCAGGAGCAGCTGGTGGGTTTGAACTGCCGACCTTACAGTCAAGCACATGAACCTACATCACCTCACCAGACTCCTTGGGACACCCTAGCAGACACTATTTGACTATCAGCCCATCCCCAAGGCACCAGTGATAGCTGAGGTCTCACTGGGGAATCTCCCTGCTTTGGCTATGTGAAGCTGCAGTGAAGGCTTGAACCACCAATGAAAAGTCAGCAGGGGTCGGCATGCGTCTGCCCATCTCCCAGCTTCTGAAATCCCGTCATGCTACCAGGAGGCTGGAAGGCAGCCCCATGCGATCCCAAGAGAGGAGGCACTATCAGAGTCTCACTAGTAATTAGGGTTCCTTAAATAGTCCCTCGCTGACTTAACTCCTCATGGCGGACAGAAAACACCGTAATTACGGAGACAACGTCTCCCTGCCTGATCACACGCTGGGTCAATGGACAGGTGGGTTAGCCCTTCGCACCTGCACCTCTCTATCCTGTGGCTTTCTGCTTTGCTGTTGTTGACTTGTTTCTGTGGTTTTTTGTTTTGTTTTTTTGTTTTTGGAAGTGGAGGGGTGGGGAGCAGAGGTGAAAGAAATGAGCAGGTGCAGAGAAAAGACCAGAATCCCAATGGATTTTGGGGGGAAATGCCTCCATTGTTGCTGCGGCTAGCTGCCACTGAGTCAGTCCCACCTCACAGCAAGACCATGCAAGACCGAAGGGAACACTGTGATGAACGGGGGTGTTCATTGGCTGATTGTTGAAAGCCGATCACCAGGCCTTTATTCTTCGTCTACCTGTGTGTGGAACATCCTAGCAGCACACAAGCCCCTCCACTGACAAGTCGTGGCAGCATTTGACGTGTGCTGGTGGAGACACGAACCCGGACCCCTCCATGAAAGGCAAGAAATCTTCCACTAACCTTCTGTTGTTAAGAGTCAACTAACTAGCTCCATCTCGTAGCAAGCAGTATAGAATTCTTAAGGAGCAGCTGGTGGGTTTGAACTGCCAACCTTACGGTTTAGCAGCTCAGTCCTTATCCTATAGCATCATACCAGGATGCCACTAAACGCCTACTGCCCAAAATCTGGCTACTAACCAAACTGCCACGTTTTCATACAGTTAACACACACGCTTGCCGCTCCTTTCCCCCCCATCGAGCTATTTTTGTAAACTCAATTTGCTAATTTTTTTCTTCTTGACAACATAAACAAAAAAATTGGCATAGCTGTGCTTATGAAAATGTCACTGGGCGTAGGGAGCTATAGGCAAATCTATGATGGCAGACACAATGTTATCTGCTGGTTCGCTGTGCATACCCGGTAAGCATTTACATACCACAGCAAACAAGGTATGGCCAACTCAGACACAGGCAAAACTCCAGCCAGGGAAGGGCTGTCATATCTGCCGAGGGGGTTACTAAGCACAGGGATCCTCACGCCTGTGTGCTGGCCCTGTTCTGGCTTCACCGGTCCATGACGCACCTGCATGGTCAGCCCGAGCCTCTTGATGCGGTCCTTGCCCTCCTTGGTCCAGGGCCCCGGCTCCTCATCATCTCTCCGAAGCAGATAGCGCCACACCAGGAAGCCTGACTTCCCCGTCTCAGGCCAGTATCTCACCACCTGTGGGACGCAGTCAGTGAGGTCTGAGCCGGACAGCGGCAGCAGTGAGGGGCCCGGGTGCACACAGGACTCACCTTGTAGATGCCGTCATAACGGTTACCCTCGGCGGGCGCATACTTGCTATGCTTCCCACCCTTGACGTTGCGTACCACCCGAACGGGCTTCCCTGCTCGCCAGTCCTTGGCCTCAGCCCCATCCCGGTCGTTGATGGGAGCACTGCAGTTCAGAGCCAGCGCCCTGCGGGGAGAGGGGCATCTATGTGAGAGGTGACTGGGTCCTGCACGTGTCCAAGGGGCCCTGGTGACCCAAGAGCTAAGTGCTCGGCAACTTTCTGGGTGGGCAGCTCGAACGCGCTCAAGACAAAGGCCTGGCAGTCAGCTCCGTACAGGGAGGTGCTACTCTGCCACACGGAGTTGCTGTGAATGGGAATCGACCTGACAGCGCGCCACATCCACCTGGACCTCCACAGCTGTGAGTGCCGGCCTGTATGGAAACGCGGCCTGTCACATGTCCTTAGCGACGCTGAGGTCACACGAGGGGGAGGGAGCCTCAATGCAATGACTAGTGTCCTTAAAGGAAGGGACACAGACACAGGTGGAAGATACACCTGTGATAAGAGGGGAGTGACGCGCCCACAAAGCAAGGACATGAAAGAGTGCCGCCAGGAGAGACAAGGAAGGACTGTCCCCAGCTAGTCTCTGGACACCAGGCCTCCAGAGCGGAGGGAACGGAAACGCACACTGTTATCAGCCACGCACTCCATGAAGTTTGTGGTGAGGAGACTCACGTGTGGATGCAGAGCCAGACATGCATGGTACCACCTTTTGGAGGAACACACGGAGACACCACAACACTATTCTCTGTCTAAAGAGCCCAGGTGGTCTATTGCTGGTTTCTGTGACTTCAGAAAATGGTACGTAGACATTGCTGTTGATGAGCGCCTAAGAGTGATTTCCAACTCAGTGACCCCATGTGTCACAGTGTAGAGCTATCCCCTTGTTGTTGTTAAGTACCGTGGAGTCGGTTCTGACTCATACTGACCCTGCACAGAGATTCTGAAGCTGTAAATCTTTATGGCAGCAGAAAGCCTCATCTTTCTCCCGCGGAATGGCTGGTAGTTTCGAACTGCTGACCTTGAAGTTCGCAGCCTGATTTGTAACCACTACGCTACCAGAGCAACCCCATCTCCTAAATGGTTATCTTTTGGTAACAGATCACCAGGTCTTTCTCCTGCGCACCCCTGGGTGAATTTGAACCACCAATCTTTCAGTTATCAGTTAAGTGCTTAAGCACTGCTTAGAACAAGCATTAGCCAAAACCAACATCAAGTCCACTGCCAGTGACCTAGTTCTGCCCCACAGCGACCACAGGGCAGAACCAACCCCTAAGGTTTCCCTGGCTGCCACATCTGCATCCCCTAGAGCATCTATCTGGTGGGGTCAAATGCTGACATCTTAGTCAGTAACCCAACACTTCACCCATAGCTCCACCAGGGCTCCTTGGGGTGAAATGAAAAATCACGCCAAACACACCGCCTTGAAGTGAATTCCAACACTGGAACCTCTAAGACAGAGTGGAACTGCCCCACAGGGTCTCTGAGGCTGTCATCTTTATGGAAGCAGATGACCCTGGTGGGGGCAAACTGCTGACCTTTCAACTAGCATCTGAGCACTTAACTGTGCCCCCCCCGAGCGCTGCTTCATGACAAAGACGAGCAACGAAAATCTACAGATGTCCAATCAATTCCAGACTCAACAGAAATAGAGTAGAAGGGTTTCTAACTCTATCTTCTTTAGAAAAGCAGGTTGTTTCATCTTTCTTCCATGGAGTGGTTGGTGGGTTCGAACCGCCAACCCTTTGCCAGCAGCTGAGTGCTTGACCACTGTGCCACCAGGGCTCCTGTGTTAACAGAACCCATTTCTCCAAGTCAAAGGACAGACGGGGTCATGGGTAAGAACAGTTAAGTTTCTCCGAACATTCAACCCAAGAACTTTCCAGAAAGATGGCTCCAGTTGTCCCTTCTACCAACAGTGGTATACAAGTTCCCTTACCACTGCTCAACATCTGTTTGTTGTTTTTTTTTTTGCCAATTTCACAGGGGAGGAAAATGGCAATGATCACTTTAACTTGTACTGCTTAAATTAGGACTTGATCTTGGACACTGGCCATTGGCATTTCTTTGATGGTGGGACAGCAGTAAGAACTTGTGAGAAGCTGCTAAAACAAATGGACGGTGGTTGGAACCCACCCAGTGGCTCTTCAGGAGGAAAACACACCTCCATCAAGATTAAAACAAAACAAAACCAACCTACTCGTCGTGGCTACAGATCAATTCTACCTCACAGCAAACCCCTGTATCAAAGCAGAACACGTCTTTCTCCTGTGGAGCAGTTGGCAGGTTTGAACCATCAACCTCCTTCTGTTTGGCAGTCAAGCACTTAAATACTGTGCCAGCAGCAGGTACTACTGGGTTTGGTTTCTGCTTTGAGAGAGTTGGTTTTTTTCTATGAAGAACTTCTTTTACTGGTTAGCAACTGCTTTTTACTCATATAACGGAGCCCTGGTGGCACTGTAGGCTAGGCATTGGGCAAACCATAAGGTTGATGGTTTAAAACCACCAGCTGCTCCGAGGATGAACGACGAGGCTGTCTGTTCCACAAAGATTTAGTCTTGGGAGTACAACCCATATATAGGGTTGCTATGAGAGGGAATCGAAGGCCTACACAGCCCTTTTTCAGGTAAAGTGTGCTCACAAGTCTTCAGTGAACCTAGGGAAGAATCCATACTGATGACCCACCACACTCGTACCAAGGGCGGAGCTTCCTGGACAGACCCAAGCCCACCAGCACAGAGAGCAGAGTGCCGCAGCCCACACACCTGTTGGTGTTGGTGAGTTTCTGGTCACAAGACTGTTCTGCGGTCCGTTTGTTGCCGGAAAGATCTCGACCGCCACTCCCTGTGTACGTGAAAAAATTCCCGTGGTCCTGAAACAGACAAGGGCAGGGTGAAGCCCTCTGACGCCACTGAGGAGGGGCATTCTATTGAAAACAATCGAGCCCCTCCTCTCGTATCTGCACTTACCACGTCATCCTCATAGCCCCCAGCCAGGACCAGGGAGTAGGCCCCGTCGTTGCTCCGGCCGTGGATGCCTGCCACATGAGGCCGATGGACGCCCGACTCACTGACCTGCAGGGACACGGAGAGAATGGTTCAAGTCCCCTCCAGCTCCCACCCCTAGAGCTGCAGTCTGCAGCCAGGAAGGCGCAGGGGCTTAGCTACCTGGACTCGGAAGCGCCACATGGTGCCCACGGGGATGCCCGGGATGGGTCCGTAGTGATTGGACGGGACGATGGTGCACTCCTTCGTGCGGCCCACACACGCCATGCCCTGTCGTTCCAGACACAGAAACAGCAGCATGAGCAAGGGTGGGAGGGAGGGTCAGCCAGGGCGGCAGGCACCCGGACCCCTCCTCACCTTGCCCCAGTCCCGCTGTGAAGACGATGTGGCCGATGCCATCTTTGCTTTCTTCTTGCTCTCTTTCAGCTTCTCGCCTGCTGACACCACCTCGCTGACATCGATCCTACATTCGGGACAATACCTGGAAGGACAGGGGTGTTTCTGCCTATGCAAACCTGCCCCCCCCCCCCCCCCCCCCCGTGGGCTCGGGAGCCCCCTCTCCTCCCACAGTTCACCGACCCAGGGCCACTGCCTCAGGCATCTAGCCACGCTGAAACTTTTTAAATTTATTTAAGACAAGTAATCCAGGTTCCTCAGTTGTACCAGCCACATCTGAAGGGCTCTGAAGCCATGTGAGGGCAGTGGCAACTGTTAACAGCACAGTTCTAGAACATTCTATCGTGGATACTGGAGAACAAAGTCTCCGGTCTCTCCTGTTCCGGAGTCACAGCTCCTCCGCAAACAGAGGCAGCGAGACTGGAAGGCATGCCATCCACTGCGTGCACTCGCTTCTACTCACCACTCGTCCTCGTTGGGGATGGCACTGAGCGGCGGACACAGGCAATAGATGTGGAAGGCCATGTCACACTCGTCACACATGAGCTGCTGGCCCGGGTCCTGCTTGCCTCCGCACAGATGGCAGGCACAAACACGGCAGGCCTTGCTCTCATCGTCCTTACAGTGTTTGCACGAGGGCCCGCTCTTCCCTGTGCACGGGAGAGGATGAGGCTATCAGCCAGGGGAGTCCCAGGCCTGAGACACCCCACCCCAACCCCCCAGGCCCAGGACGCACTGCGCATGGGGTTTTCCACCACGGGGCTCCCTTCACCCGGGCGCTCGATCTTGAAGACTTCATCCACAAAGATGATTCGGCAGTCATTGAGAGAATCATCCCTGTGTGAGGCAAGTCGTCAGAACCTCCCAGTGGGCCCCCCAGCACACCCCAGTGTTCTCACAGCACTAGCCCACTAACCCTAAGGCCAGCAGTTCAAACCCACCAGCCACTCGACAGGAAAAAAGAAGAGCCCACCTTCTCCCATGTATACAATCCTAGAGACCCTACGGAGCAATTCCAGTCTCCAAAAGGGTCATTACAAGTCGGCTCGGTGACAGTGGGCTTGGGTGGCAGATAATAGCACGGCGCTAGAGGATAAGCACTGGACTGCTAAACCCAAGGTCGGCAGTTCAAACCCAACAACCGCTACTCAAAAACCCCATACCGGGTCACTATGAGTCAGAACCAACTCCACAGCACAACCACCACCAATAACCAAAAGGTAGGCAGTTCAGAGCCCCAGAGGAAACAGCCTGACTGACCATCTGTTCCCATAAAGATAAAGCCGAGAAAGCCCACAGTGGCAGTTCTAACTCAGTAAGACATGGGGTTGCCGCGGGGCAGGCTTGACTCCGTGCTAACAAGTTTGGGGTTCTGTTGTTTTGGGTTTGTCGGTTTTAATTATGTCCAACAAGAGGTTCTGCTTCTTTAGAGGCTGATTTTATGGAGGGAGATTGCCAGGTCTTTTGTCTGATGGACCTGTAGCTCCACACGTTGGGTTAGCAGCTGCATTAACTACCTGTACCGGGGACTCCTGTTTCTGGCTCTTCATGTTGGCAGTGTCCTCTCAAGTATCCGTTTGCTGTCTAACAGAACACTGATAGAGAACCTGGAGACAGATATGCACCCTATCTAGGAGGGACCACGGTGGCTTAGTAGCAGTATTCTCGCCTCCTATGCAGGAGTCTCGGGTTCAATTCCCTGCCACTGCATCTCACGCACAGCCACCATGAGTCTGTCTGTGGAGGCTGGTGCGATGCTAGGCTGCTGGACAGGTGTCAGTGGAGCGGCCAGACTATGACAGTATGGACTTGCAAACATCTGCCCACGAGCGCCCTAAGGATCAGCCAGTGGTCCAATCCCAACCCCTCATGGGGAGGGCGCAGAGCCAGGCAGCATGAAGTAACCTAACAACGTACCTTGTGTCCTGTTTTCAATGACTCAAAAGGAACACGTATTTCAACGAGAATAAATTTTTTAAAGTGAAAGTAAATAAACTGCATTCTATAATTCTATATCCAGCAAAGCTGTCCTACAGGAAAGAAAAAACAAGGCACTGCTAGACAGAGGAAAGTTAGGAGGATTTGGGGGTAACAGACCTGCTTCGAGAGAGTACCTACAGGAAGTGCTTCAAACAGACAATTACAAACAGAAGGAAGAAAAAAACAGGACTATGGGCCCGCCCAGTTGCTGAGTTTTCAAAATCACATGCAACTGAAAGAAAAAACATCACAGCACCCGATACTCAAGACAGACAACAGGGAGAACAGACCAGAAAGGGGAAAAGGTTCCACACATCACTCGAAATGGAAGAAGCACTTTGATACTGACACGTCACAAATAGTTTATGGCACTATGCAGTAAATCTATCTGAAAACTACAAAGGGATGTACGAAAACATCCTACATCAATACAGAAGCTTGGCCTCAGCGCCTTTGTGGAAAAAACCTCTGAGCCCTGAGAGCCAAGCAGAGGAAGATGAGAATGTAAAGGCTGAAGGGCAAAACAAAGATGGAGCAGAGATCCGAGGAAAGGCTCGTCTGTGCACCCACAGAAGCCACAGCTGCAGGTTTAGGGATTGCCGGAGGCTGGGACACTGGTACAACTTGTTGACTGCGAGCTACTGCCTGGAACTTCTGGCTCGCTCCGCTTCCATCACCATTCGACAAACCCTGTGAACACCTGAGACCCACCTGACTGTACCAATGCAGTTCGTTCTGATCCTTTGTCCTGGACCTAGGACATTCTGGACCAGTCCTGTTCTGTTCTCAGCTGTGGCTGAATGCCACAAGTACACAATAAATCATCTCTTCTGTCTTAGCTGAACTATCAACCAAAACACTATAGAAGCCCGAGGAAGAACTTAGTAACCAACAGCCAGGGGCCACTGTAGGAGAAACACTGGACTGTGAACTCCAAGGTTGGCAGTTCAAACCCACCAATCACTCTCTACACAGGATAGAATGAGGCTGTCTGCTCCAGAAATGATCGACGGCTTCAGAAACCCTGTACAAGGTCGTTATGAGTGAGAATCAACTCGGTGACAATGGAGCCAACAGGAGACGAGAGACAACAGGACACAAACACACCAGTAACCACCTTAAATATAAATGGTCTAAGTACACCAATTAAAAGGTAAAGACTAGAAAAATGGATTTGAAAACAACCAACAATACACACAGCCCAATTAGAAGAAGCTCCTTTCACTTAAAATCAACAACATTAAGTTGAGAATAAAAGAACTGAGAAAGAAGATATAGTCCATGCAAACATTAATTTAAAAAAAAAAACAATACAGGAACAACACATACACATCCTTATGTGTGGGCATGTATGTGTATAAGGAGTTCCCAAGCAGTACAATCAGTTACTGCGCTTGGCCACTGACCAAAAGATTCATAGTTGGAGTACACGGAAACTACCTCAGAAGAAAGGAGATCTCGTTTCCAAAAATAAACAACCCAGGTAAAAACCGGGCAAAAGATTGGAACAGACACTTCACCAAAGAAGATGCACACACAGCAAACCAGAAAATAAAAAGATGCTTCAACATTCCGTGTCTTTAAGTTCTCTAGGGCCGCCACAATAAACCGGGGACTTTGACAAACAAAAACTTACTCTCACACTGTTTAGCAGTCTGAATTCAGGGAGCCGCTGGGGGGGTGGGGGTGGGGGGGAGGCTTTCTCTGTTTGCCTTGGGGGAAGGTCCTTGGATCTAGGAGCCTCTAAGACTAGGGAACCCAGGTCCAAAGAACTCTTCTTTCTTGGTGGCAAGAGACCCTCTTACGTGCTTAAGTGCCGACGAGCCGGTTTGACTCATAGCAACTCTGCACAGGGTTTCCGAGGAGCAAACCAACCTTGCGGCCCACTGCTTATCTTACAGCGCCACACCGGGACGCCGCCACACGGGGACGCTACTCTGCTAGATTAGCTAGTATCTTTTCTATTTCAAAAGAAATTAACGATTACATCTGATCTCATTAATATAATTGCCCCTAATCCTGCCTCAGTACCATCACTGCTGTTGGTTCCAGCTCATAGTGACCCTACATAGGATATCCAAGGAGCAGCGAGTCAGTACAGTAGTGCTTCTCCTACAGCCACACCAGGGCTTGTGGCAAATACTTCTGGTTGTGAAGTGCCATCAAGTCGGTTCCGACCCGTAGCGACCCTATCCACACCAGAACAAAATGTTCCTGTGACATTCCATCTCATTGAGGGTCTTCCCTCTTTTCACCTTCACCTGCATGACGTGCTTTCTCCAGGGACTGGTCTCTCCTGATAACATGTCTGAAGGATGACAAAGGAAGTCTGGCCATCCTGGCCTCTAAGGAGCATTCTGGCTGTACTTCTTCCAACACAGACTTGTTTGTTCTTCTGGAAGTCCATGGTACTTTTAATAGTCTCCTCCAACTCTATGAATTCAAACACATCAATTCTTCTACGGTCTCCTTATTCACTGTCCAGCTTTCGCATGCATATGAGGTGATTAAATACCATGGCTTGGGTCAGGCGCACCTTAGTCCTCAAGCTGACATCTTTGCTCTTCAATACTTAAAAAGGTCTTGTGCAGATTTGCCTGATGCAATAAGTCATTTGATTTCTTGGCTGCTGCTTCCTTGAGTGTTGATGGGTGATCCGAACAAAATAAAGTCTTTGAGAACTTCAATCTTTTCTCCATTTATATGAATGTTGTTTATTGGTCCACTGGTGAGAATTTTTGTTTTCTTCACATTGAGATGCAACCAACCCATACTGAAGGCTGTGGTCTTTGATCTTCATCAATTAAGTATTTTAAACCCTCTACACTTTCAGCAACCAAGACTCTATCGTCTGCATATCAAAGGTTGTTAATGAGTCTTCCTCCAATCCGGATGCCAAGTTCTTCTAGAATTGTGTGCTTAGTGTAGAAGGTTCTACCCCTGAATCCTCATTGTCCTCTAGCGTGGAACCTCTAACCCAAAGCCCACTGCTATCAAGTCTATTCCCACTCACAGTCACCTTATGGGGTCGAGCTCCCTAGGCTTGTCAAGGCTGTGAATGCTTACAGGAGCAGACAGCCTCATCTTTCTCCCACAGAGTGGATGGTGGGTTTGAACTCTCAACCTTGCGGTTAGCAGCCCAGTGCCTAACCCACAGAGCCACCAGGGTTCTTTCCACAGAGTACTACTCAGCCACGAAGGAAATGAACTACATCACACATGTGACTACTTGGGTGAGTCTCCAAAGAACTCAGCTGAGTGAAGAGCAAGCTGAGTGAGAACTACAAGGTCGGCTGTTCAAACTCACCAGCCACTCCTCAGAAATCCTCTATACAGGCTTGCTGTGAGTCAGAACCCACTCAGCGGTGCTTAAGAACAAGTCATTCCCCAAAGATGACGCACTGTCTGATTCCATTTAAATAATGTTCTTGAGATTACCAAATTACAGAGATGCAAAACAGCTTAGTGGTTACCTGAGGCCTGGGGTTGGGATAGCAGAGATGGGCTTGGATATAATGGGGAACAGAAGAGTCCCCTGTGGAAAAGAAAGCGTTCCGCTATTTTTCACTTAATCTCTGTCAATTTTCTAGTTGAGATTTTTTTACGTAAGATGTTACCACTGGGGGTAGCTTGATAAAGTGTTCAGGAGGTCTATTATCATTTCTTGAAGCTGCACAGACATTCACATAGCATCTAATTAAAGTAAATGACCACCTCCCATCTGTCTGTAGTGGCTTATGTGTTGTTGTGATGTTAAAAGCTATGGACACTCGTGGGGGACACGTTTCAGGGACATTTGTTAGAGACCAGGAAGAAAAGCCTGATGACTGCCTTCAAAACTCCACCAATAAGAGGCA